GGGGAGAGCCCAACAAACTGTAAGTTTCCTGAGGAAAGTCTTGAGCCTGACTGATTACCAGAGAATGACCAGCATATACAGTCACAGAAAAATGCTAACTGTAGTTCTCATTCCTGATACAATACTGACAGTATTCTAAAATTGCCCGAATCATCATTAAAAAATAGAGATTAAGAAAACTAGTGTTATCTTTCTCAGATGTTAAAGAAAATAGACAATTGTTATCTTACTTGTAAATTCCTCGGGACATATTTTCAATGTATTTTGCTTTGTCTTGTACACCACAGTGGTAATGGTAGGTTTTAACACAGGCTTTTATTTCACATCCAATAGTAGCACCAGGCTGACTGCAAAGTGTACATTTCTGTTAAGAAAGAAAGTATCATTAGCAGCAGTACTTCAAGGGTCAGACAATTTTATTTACTCTATTGTAAGCATATTTTAGCCAAGTACTTCAGTTTATGTGAAAATAGCAGCCAGGAGCTGGTGAAATGATTTAGTGGTTATAAGTACTTGCTACTTTAGCAGAGGACTAGAGTCTAGTTCCCAGCAACTGTGTTGCACGGCTCATACATGCCTGTAACTCCAGCTCCCTGGTACTCACATGTTACCTCCAGGTACCCAATGCCTTCTTCTGGCCTCCATGGGCACCCACATACATGTGTGCATATAGGCCGGCACACATACACATAAACAAAATTAATTTAAAAAATTAAGAAAACAGCAGCTATTTTCTACTAAAATACACCAACAAAACAAAATATATAGCATATAATCAAAATTGTGACACCATATATGGTTGGACTGTAAATACAGTTGACATGACTTAATTTTGCCAAGCACAGAAAGATTAATACTGTGTATTTTAGTGGTTTGACTCCTTTTCCTTCCTGAAATCAGATCCTTTCCTATCATGATTGGAAAAAAAGGAGAAAAACAGGAAAAGAAGCCCTTCATTAGGAGGCTCACTACTAAGTTTCCAGAATGACAAAGAGAGACTGATAGGGCTGAAAACTTTTCAAAACTTCTCAGCTTCTCCTAAATAATAGTGAGATTAACAGATGCCCACTGCAAAAGAGGTTTTACAGTGCAGTAAGTCTGACAAACAGGAGGTAGGCATATTGCCTTTTTCCAGACTGTTTCATGGCCCTTCTCCAGGAAGGGGGCATACTAAACAGAAGTTTACTCCACTGCAGCTGGCCTTTTATTTCTGGGGTGGTGGGGGAGGATGATGATGGGCTCATTTCTGTTAGAGTTTATCCAGGAGATTGCTAGGTTAGCATTTACCGGAACCTTTAACAGAGCCATGCAATAAATTCATCAAGAGAACCGAATGTTTGTCCCACTCCCTCATGTCGACTTGTGAAACACAGCACTGCTGCATAAGAGGATGAGGCGATTTTCTTACAAGTTTACCACTAAAGATTTCAGCTTGAAAGTAATCAAATTTAACAACCCACTGAGCTGAATCTAAAGAACAGATAATTGTCACATTTTAAAACAGGAAGGTCCACAAAGAAAAGGTCAGTGCTAGACGAGTTGGCCAAGAACCATAAATGTCCAAAGCTACGCCTTGAAAGACTGGAGGACCTCACAACAGACTGCCTACCGCGGCCAGGACGGATCTGAGACGTAAACCATGGGATGATACACACCTTCTTGTGTGATAGTATTATGGCTCCAAGAGATGAAACTGAATCTATTCGTGCCCTTGAGCGTAATTCCCAGTTTCTTTCTTTTTAAAATGATTTGTGTTATGAGTGTTTGGCCTATATGTGTATATGCATTGGACCACACGCATGTCTAGATCCCTTGGAACTGGAGGTAGACAAGGA